CTGCAGCCTGACGCGGGGGCTCACACGCAAGGATACAGGGGTTGCTGTCGTCCGGGCTGCAGCTGTCCAGGATCAGGGGGATGCCGTCCAGCTCGTTGACCTGCAGAGAGGAGAACACGGCGTTACGCACACAGCGGCCCGGAGCGCTGGGGACCACGGGGGATGTCTCTCTGTTTTCTTTCCCTCCTCGTCACTATACTGTCTGTGCAATTACCAACCCGGAAGTATTTAACAACAGGCGTGCAAGCACAAGTGATACCTTTCCTTCCCCCTTCCTAAAAATGTGGGGCGACGGCAGCCGTACGACCCAGGACAAAGCAGATCGCTCTCACCAGGACAGGCTCCAGCTGGGCCTGAGGTCACTACAGTTCACTAGCAGGAGCACGTGAGCCCTTTTTCTAAGCTCGGAGTAGGAAAGGCTTCTCAAACTCGGATTCAAAATCCAGAAGCAACAGAACAGGTGTGCCTCGGTTTTTTAAAAAGGCAAATGAAAACTGGAAAAATGATTTATAAGCTATCATAGGCAACGGTTTATTATCTTAATACATAAAGAACTTAAAAAATTGAGAAAAGACCAACAATCCAATAAAAAATGGATAAAATACATGAACAGAAATGACACTGAAAAGAAAGAAATGGACCATGAAGATACCAGAATATGCTCAACTTTGTGCTCAGTTAAGAGGAAGGCAAGTTACTGCCACCCTGAGGCACCAGCCTCAGCTGTCAGGTGGCAAACGCCGGCTTTGACATACACTGCGGGAGGGGGACGGGGCCAGGGCCCGGGGCACAGCAGGGCTGACGCTGAGGGCGCCGCCCCGCCATGGAGCGGTGCCGGGCGCACGCAGCACAGTCCTGAGCTCTTCACTCTTTGGGCCAGGACTGCAGACAGAAGACACACCGTGGTCACGCGAAATTATGTTTGCACAGATGACTTGCTGCAGCACAAAGTACATTTTTACAAGTTTTATTGAGATTATAATCCTCATACCAGAAAACCCACCCTTTTAATTCAGTGGACGTTAGTATATTCACAAAATTGTGTCGCCGTCACCACTATCAAATTTTAGAACATTTTTTTCACCCCAAGAAGAAAGTGCATACCCACCAGCAGCCACTCCCTCCCCCACTCCAGTCCTTGGCAACCACCCATCTGCTTCCTGCCTCCAGGGATGTGCCTGATCTGGAGGTTTCACGCCATAGGAAGCATGCGGCCTCCCGTGCGGCTCCTTTCTGAGCACAGGCCTCTGAGCTCCCTGGGGGTGGCGGGCGGCAGTGCTCCATTCGCTATGATGGCTGAATCGATTCCATCGGTACTGTGGATGCACCACATTCATTTATCCACTCACCAGGCAACGGGCATTTGAGCTATTTCAACCATCTGGATATAACGGTGCCATTGTGAACATCCGTGTACATGTTTCTGAGCGGACACGTGCGTTTCAAAATTTCTTGGCTCTGCACCCGGAAGCAGCCGTTACTAGGTTTTTAGGTAGCTCCGTAGTGAATGTTTTGAGGGGCTGCCAGACTCTTTCCAAGTGGCTGTCCCATCTCCATCGCACCAGCAGCACGCGGGGCTCCCACGCCCCCTCCTCGGGAACAGCTGCTATGGCTGCCTGTCGGTTTAGCCGTCCTGGGCGTGAAGCGGTATGTCATTGTGGTCCATGTGCACTTCCCTGATGACTGCTGAGTGGTTCCGAGTGCCGGCAGTATTTATAACAAGTACCGTGGCCACACCTCACCGTGCGCCACCCCAGCTGGTCACTGAACTGGTGTGACACACAAGACGCCACGGAGCTGGGAGAGCGCACGGACGAAGGCAAAATAAACAGGTCTTCTTGGATTCCAGCACACAACAAAAGGGCTTCCCAGAGCGCAGAGAAGAGAATGATGTGGAAGAAACAAGGATGGAGGCTGGCCTCTGTGAATGTACCTGTTTGTGTAATTCTCGCTTTAGAATCCTGTGTATGGTTTATATAATTTTTAAAAATTAAATTTATAGTTATAAAAACAAATTAATCTGATGACATATAAAAGAAAACTTACTTCGCAGAATTAGATCGGTATTGTAACTTCACATCTCAGTGAGATGTGCCCTGAGCTCACAGGGAACCCACAGAAACCTTCCACGCACTCGCCCTGAGCAGGACGCAGTGGCTCTGCTGTTTGGACCGTTATTTCTATATTCAGGCTAAAGTAATGGGCAATTAATCATTAGGAACCAAGACTTTCAGCAGAAAAACGTTAATTTTACATTTCAATTGAAAATGGTGAGCATGCATTCATGATCGATTTTTCTTTTTCTAAAAGTATTTACTCCCTCTGAAAAGGCCCAGAAGCCGGGACAAGCAGCAGGGTGGTCGCTCCGCACCAGCTGCGCTGTCACAGAGCCCACGTCCCGGAGGCCAGCTCTCCAGCGCCTGTGCGCGACCGGCCAGGCGTGACCACTTCCTGTCGCTCCTCGAGCACCAAGGACGAAGGTCTGAACAGGCCGAGTAAGTCATGGACCCCTAAGACTTAGTTTTCTCATCGGCAAAATGGAGATGACAGGGCCCAATTCCAAGGGTGACTGCGCATGGACTGGGTGACTGCGTATGCTGGCTCACAGGGACTGTCATGGTGGCGAGGGAGTGACGGCGACAGTCCGCAGTGGCCTGCTGCTCGCTGCAGGAAATCCAGGGGCCACAGCGAGGAGGGAGCGGTGGCTCCCGGAAGCCAAGAAAACGCAGGGAGACGGGCCCACTGCCCAGGACACAATCCTACTCGGAATAAGGCACAACTGTACATTCATTTTTAAAAACCAGGTTTCTTTTGAGGGGGGTAAGGATTCAGGCCCTTTATTCAATGCAAGAGAAACATCTCCTTTTCCTGGGGAGAGAGAATTCTCAGGTATGCTAAATGGGGAAGATGTTCTTTGAAGGAAGTAAAATCACCGCTGAAAACTGAAGCTTCCGCAGTCAGTGACGGTTACCCCAGTTGTGGCGGAACTGGGGTATGCTTCCCTAGTTAAAGGTTTGTCATTCACACCAGTGAATTAGGAAATGATACAAAATAAATTCTTATATAAATTCATTTAATGTTATAACGTAAGTGACCCATCACAAGCAGGTCATTTAAGAATGACACAGGGCAGCCTTAGCTGGTTTGCTCAGTGGATAGTGTTGGCCTGCAGACTGGAGGGTCCTGGGTTGGATTCCAGTCAAGGGCACATGCCTGGGTTTCGAGCTCAGTCCCCAGTGGGGGGGTGCAAGAGGCAGCCAATCAATGATTCTCTCTCATCATTGATGTTTCTATCTCCCTCTCCCTTCCTCTCTGAAATTTAAAAAAAAAAAAATGACACAGGGAAGGTCACGAGGAGAGGAGGACAGAGTGGCACACCCCGGGAGTGATGGGCAGCATGTGATAACTGAGCTCAAGTTCACTGCTGGGTGCGGAGCTCATGTCAGGGGCAGGGGCGAACAATTAGGGAATTAACAAGTTTTCTTCTGTTCGCACTTCATAAAACAAGTTGTTTTTTCACCCAGCGTGTTGGGAACTGATGCCAGGCCCCCAAGAGATGAGTCATGGGCTGCAGCTCACATCAAGGAGCGCATCTCAACAAGACAACCCACCCGCTTAAACAAACCGACATTTCGCCCCTGGAAACGACGTGTCAGCAGGACAGCTAACTGGTTTGTAGCTGTTCTCTGCCACCTCAGCCAGTGACCTCAGAGAACACAGCCTGTTATTCGGGCTGCTCTCCCACTGAATAGGAAACCAAAGTAAACGCAGACCAGAGAGAGGCGCACCTCACTGAGGCCCGGACCCCGCGCACAGGAACGGAGCCTGGCCTCCGTTGGTCACATCTGAACCCAGCGCCTCAACCACGCACAGACGCAGGGTCCCAGCCCTCGTGCTGACACGGACACACGGTGGCGTGGCAGGGCAAGGCCTGTCTGGGGGACGAGGCGTCCTCAGACGTGCCGGCACTGGGTGCTGCCGGACCCTCTCGGGGCATCACCCTATCTGCACCTGCCCCTGCCCGATGACTCCTGATGTGGAGCCTGTTTTCAGGGTGTGGGGCCACGCCCCCCTTTTAAAAGTGCTCTCCAAGTATTCAGCCCACAGTTACTCTTACTTAGTGAGTTCCTCATGTAATAGGACACGAGTCCTTGGCAAACACACGTATAGTGAATCCTGTCCCCCACTGTGGCCCTTTCCTCTGCATTTTCTCAAAGACGCTAACTTTTCCATTTAGACGAAGAACAATTTTCCCATATTTACCACGACCAGTGCTCGGTGCAGCCGACGGGTGCTGAGAGCAGGCATTCTTGCCTCCTCACTGATGCTGGGCGCCTTATCAAGCTGAGGAAGTGCCTTCCTGCTCTTCACTTGCTGCAAATTTGTATTATGAATGTTAAATTTTGTCAAATGCTTTCCCTCTACTTATTGAGATAATCCTATCTCTTTCACCTTTTATTCCGTTAATATGTGGTCATTGGTGTTTGATTTTGTAACGTTGACTCAGTGCCTGCATGAGATAAACCATCATTGTTAGCAATGCACTTCCTTTCATATAGTACACAAATCTGTTAGTTAATATTTTGAAAAAATGTTTTTGTTCATGATTCTGTTAATGTTTGTTTCTATAGCTTGTTTTTTCCTATAAGGCTTTGTCTGGAATATATACAGACAAATGCACTGTTAGCTTCATAAAATGGGTTGGAAAGTATTCCCTCCTCCTTCATTTCTTAGAGAGAAAGACTGGGTTTTCCTTCTCAGGTGATTCATAAACTCACCACTGAAACAATGTGTGCCTGGAGATTTGGTTGTGGGGGGAGTTTTTAATTACAAATTCATTTTCTAAAATGTAGGCTATGGAGCTTTCCTAATGACTCTTGGTTTGGTGCCAACGATGTTACGTGAGGACTTCCTGCTTAAAGGACACTGCAAATGCAGGTGTCTTCTTAAGGATGCTTGCCTTGCTGATAGCATTAGAACAGGGGCGGGCAAACTTTTTGACTCGAGGGCCACAATGGGTTCTTAAACTGGACCGGAGGCCGGAACAAAAGCATGGATGGAGTGTGTGTGTGAACTAATACATGTTAACACTGCTGCTGG